TTGCCTCCTGCCAGTCTGGTTTTCGTCAATTTCACAGCACGACGACGGAATTCATATCTCTGACGTCGTGCTTCGTAATTTCGACAATTGTCGCCTTACTTCCATTGTTGCGCTGGATTTCACAAAGGCTTTCGATACCGTCAATCATGATCTACTTTTGGTCAAACTGAAGTTATGCAGTCATTCCATCCAGCTCTCTCGCTAATCTGCTCGTTCTTTACAAACCCGCAATCTTCGTATATAATTCTTTTCCTCTTTTTTCATCTACTCGTGCCGTTCTCTCTGGTGTTCTCCAGAGTTCCATTCTCGGACCTTTACTCTTCAATATTTTTAGCTTTGATTTGTCTAATGTTTCTCTGTCCTCCAAGCTCTTCATGTATGCAAATGACATAATTCTTCTCAAACCCATTTGATGTTTTAGCAATCTGTTCTGCTTTGAAGACTTAAAATCTATAGCCGAATGGTCTATTAATAATGCCCTGCATCTAAATCCTTCTAAATCATTCTTGCTAATTGTCGGTTTTTCAACATTGTTATCCCATATTCAGTCCTCCGATATTTCTCTTAATTCTATTCCAATTCCTCGCTCTTCCTCTATTAAAATTCTTGGTGTCCATGTTGACTCTTTATAGTTATTCGAGTCACACGCCGTCAAGTATCGGGCTGTTTATGCTCGTTTAGGTCTTCTTTATCCCCTTTGCCACATCCTTTCTTGCTCTAAAAAATTCCTCACTTTTCAATTATTTGTTATTTATCTGATTACGCTGATGTCGTCTACGTCCCTGCTCTTAACCAACATCTGCTAAATTGTGTACAGAGTATCAAAAATTCTTGTCTCCGTTTCTCCTTTTTGTTCGTAAATACGATCATATATCTCCGTATTACCAGAGATTTGGCAATGTTTTATTCTTTACCTGTACTGTTTTGTATTTTCTCTCTTTCGCTTGAATACTTCTCTATATCTGCGACGTCTCCTTCAGTTGAACTCTGAGCATCATTCCTCTTGTAACTATCTTGTCACTAGATACCAAGATTACTTATCCTTCTCCATACATCGGTCCACTAATTATAAGTTCCGTGTTGCTTTCTCCTACACCTCTGTCAAATATTTTAATTTCCTTTCTCTGATTCAATAAAAACCTCTTCCTCTCTATCCTCCTTTCGTTCCGCTGCCTCGCGTTTCATTGCGTCACTCGCAGTATTTAAACGAGATTGATGTAATTGGTGTGTTTGTGGGTATATGCGCGCGCGCGCGCGCGCGTGTGTGTGGGTGTATGTGTTTGTATGATTTCAGCTATTAGTTTACCTCTTATTGCATTATTGTCTTATTCTGGTTTTGTTACTGGTAGGGTTTGTAACAGCAATTCTGCTAACGCCTAACCATTTATAAGCTACTATTGTCTATTGTATTTATGTTTATTATATGTTAATCTATTGTATCATATTTTATGTTTATTACTCTGTTAATATGTAGTCTTTTTCATATAGCTTTGCAATAAGCTAAAATTAAATTAAATTAAATAGCGATAGGAGATTCATACTGCAGAACTGTGTTTGGTGAGACTAGAATAACTCAGAAAAAAAAGTTCTTTATTGGAAGAAAGGAAGCGTACGTTTACTCTTGATGGCAGCTGCAAAAAATATTTTTTTATGATTTTTTAAAGAATCGATAATGATAGGAGATTTATACTGCAGAACTGTTTCGTAGAATTAGAACAACTCAGAACAAAAAGTTTTCCACTCGAACAAAAATGGAAGCGTACGTTTACTCTTAATGGCAGCTGCAAAAAATACATTTTTTTTTTATTTTTGAAAGAATCAGTAATGATAGGAGATTTATACCGCAGAACTGTGTTTCGTAAGACTAGAACAACTCAGAACAAAAAGTTTTCGATTGAAACACGAAAGGAAGTGTACGTTTTCTCTAGTTGCTATAGTTAATGGGATCAGTTTTTTTTGGAAGAACTAGTAGTGGTGATAGATTCACTCTGCAGAATTATCTTTCACAGGATAGAACAACTGAAAATATAAAATTCTATGTTGTAATAAGGATAATGTTCTTTTACTTTTGGTCGGAGCGTTCGTTTGTTGAAAAAAGTTTGTTTTTTTATTTTTTTCGATTCCCGTTCGATTTACGGAATTGTCCTTCTGGAACAATGTTTGCAACAACTAGAACAATCTATAGCGAGAAGAAATTGTTTGATTTTTGAAAAAAGGGGGGCAAAAAAATCGTTTTTTCCATTTTATTGGAGAACGATTTGGAATAAGATAATATTGTTTTGGAACAAACTCAGAACAATCTGGAACAATTGTCAAAATTTTAATTTAAAAAAAAAGGGGGGGGTAACTTCACACACATTGGTCGATGGTTGCCGCTCTACACCCAGCTAAAAAAAAATATGGAGCGAGAGTCATCATATCCGCATTACACGACTGTAGTAAATCTTCAAAACTTGTGTTCTCAATGACGCAAATTAAAAAATTCTAAAATTTTAAAATTTATCGATATTTCTATCAACGTATACTGCATCGAGGAGCAAAAAGAAAAAAAGAGGATATCTCCGTTACTCACTGATATGAAGAGGAACAAGCACGTCAATTTATTGTACGTGTAAGATTCGCAGAATGATAACGTAGAATACTCTACGTGGATAAAGGATTTGTTCCGTCTCGTGAGCTTACAAATCAATAAATATGATCACACAAAATACTTTTGCGATAGGTACGAATATATTTAATTTAAAATTATAAAAATTTTTTTGTAATCTGTTTGTGACAATAAAAAAATTATATTTTTTTTCAGATGCCTGCACTATTTTGGATCTAGCGCAAAGCTGGATATCCACATAGTAGACTGTGGAAAATTAAACGATTGCGCCATCAACTTTGTTGAACGAGGACGACAAGTAGTTGAGTTTCAGCAATCACTGCAGAAAGGAGCGCATCCCGTTCGTGGTCTACGCTGAGAATCTACGCCAGGAATGTACCCTGAAGAAAACGGAGAGAGATCCGAATACCAATGTCAACATATAGGTACCAACATCACAACGTGTTTAGCATCGGGTATTAAACGCATTGTTCGTACGATAACTTGTTGTCGATATATCGTTTTCATCGCGATAACGATTGCGTCGCGTGATACACTGAGGAACTTAGAAGTTTAGCGCATAGTGTAAACATTATCCTGTCTGCTAATGTTCCTATGGCAAATTTCTTGCGAGACGATTGGCAAAAGTTTAACAGTGCCACGTGTGAGAAAAACCGTTCGCGTCTGGCAATACATGAGTACGCGATCATTGCCACTTAACCGGGCGATATATAGGCCCCGTGCACTCAAATTGCAACTTAAATTATAAAGATTCACATTCACATCGATCTACTCACGTAAAGATGTATATCCGTACGAGTACATTGACTGCGTCTAAAAATTGGAGGATACATGTTTACCTCCGTGCGAATCGTTTTATAGTTCGTTAACGAGTGACGCTGTGATTACGCACATGCCATGAAGGTGTGGCAGAGATTCTCCATTCGAACTCTCGGTGAATATAGCGATTTGTACTTAAAAATAGATGTCCTGTTGTTGACCGACATTTTTGAAAATTTTCGCAATAGTTGCATCACCAGTTATAGATTCGATCCCGCGTATTATTATATACTACCTTTATGTGGGACGCGATATTGAAACATACTCGCGTCAATTTCGAACTTCTTATCGACGTTGACATGGTTCTATTCATTGAACGTGGTATAAGCGGGGGTCTAAGCCAATGTTCCAACAGGTACGCGCAGGCCAACAACAAATACATGCCGTCATACGATCCATCGAAATTATCGTATCTGATGTATTTACTATGACGTCAACAACCTCTATGGCTGGGTAATGTGTCAACCATTGCTATACGCCGATTTTCGATGGGTCAACAATATAGACAATTTTGATGTTATGAATGTCACAAAAATTTACCATATATTACAATTTTGCGCAATCTTCATGGCTTCGCGAGTACATAGAATTATACAAATTCTAGAACTCGCGTGAATAACGAGTTCGAAAAAAATTTATATAAATTAATGAACGCGGTATTCGGCAAGACCATCGAGAACATGCGCAATCATGTACGATTTATAATGCGTTGGAACCGGAATTATGGTGCAGAGACAATGATCTCGAAACCAAACTTTCATAATAAAAGCGTTTTTTCCGAAAATCTGGTCGCAAAAGAAATACGTAAACTCGAAATGAAGTTCAGCAAACCGATGTACATGGGTATGTGTATATTAGACATATCCAAGACATGTTTGTATGAATTTCATCACGAGTACATGTTACCGCTCTTTCATGAAAAATGTAAAATTATGTATACCGACACGGACAGCCTTATTTATCACATTGAATGCGACGATGTCTATGCTATTATAAAGCGATTCGACACTAGCGATTACGCGGTCGACAACGTGTATGATATTCCGCTCGTAAATAAAAAAGTTCCCGATTTTTGAAAGATAAAAACAACGGTGTGATCATGACCGAATTCGTCGAGCTTAGAGCGAAATTGTACGCCTTATGTCGATGACAAAAAAGATACTAAGAAGGTAAAGGGCGTCAAGAGCAACGTTGTATCGAGATCCATAACATTCAATGATTATACACGGTGTCTCAATAACATAATTGAAATGACGCGCAGGCAATCGTGCGTAAGATCGAAATTGCACGAAGTATACATCATATCCAAAACGAAAATCGTTCTGAGTCCATACGATAATAAGCGGTACATTGTTCCAGATTCTACCGACATATGGGGACAATATAAGATATTTTATTATAATAAAAAAATTTATTTCCTATTTTTTTTGTATTTATGTGTTTTTTTTATTAATACAAACACACTTGTATATGTATAATATGTTTATTATGTGTATTATTGGGTGGATCCATATATTCGTTCGCTTTTTGAAGGCTAAAATGAAACAAGTTTTTTTCATACAAAGGATGAATTTTAATCAATAATATATTCTCCGTTTTTGTTGATGACCTCTTGCCATCTTTCCAACAATTTCATTATTCCGCTCTCATAGAAGGTCTGGGGCTTAGAGGCGAAAAACCGGTCGAGGTACGTTTTCACAGCTGTCTGATCAGCGAACGATTTCCCGTTGAGGGAGTTTTGCAGGGACCGGAACAAGTGATAGTCGGATGGCGCAAGGTCTGGTGAATACGGTGGGTGAGGCAAAACATCCCAGCCAAGTTGCACTAATTTTTGCTGAGTGATTATTGCGGTGTGGGGTCTGGCGTTGTCATGGTGGAATATGACACCTTTGCGATTGATCAGTTCTGGACGTTTCTGTCGCAATGCTTGATTCAATTTCGTTAGCTGCGTGCAGTAGATCTTCGAATCGATCGTTTTTCCCTGAGGAAGCAGCTCGTAAAACAGCACACCACGATGATCCCACCATATGGATAGCAAAATCTTCTTCGGATGCAGGCCGGCCTTCGGGGTGGCATTCGGCGGCTCGCCAGCGGTTCCCCACGATCTCTTGCGCACTATGTTGTCATAGATGATCCACTTTTCGTCGCCAGTCACTATTCGTTTGAGAAACGGGTCGCTTTCGTGCCGCTTCAGAAGTGAATTGCAGATGGATATGCGGTTGGCCAGGTTCTCCTCGGTCAGCTTGTGCGGCACCCAAACATCGAGGCGGGACACGTAGCCAAGCTGTTGCAAATGCCTTTGTACGGTTCCATAACCTATTTTAAGTGTCTCCGCAATCTCTCGCACCTTTAGCGTCCGGTCTTGCTCAACCAGTGCCTTGATATCATTCGAATCAACCTCGGTGGGCCGACCGCTGCGGGGTCCATCTTCAAGACTCGTATCTCCGGAACGAAATTTGGCAAACCATTTCTGAGCGGCACGTTTTGTTAAGGCATCGTCCCCGTATACGCTGCATATCTTTCGGTGGGCCTCCGCAGCTCGCTTGCCTTTCTTGAAGTAATAAAGCAAAATGTGCCGAAAATGCACCTTATTCTCCGACATGTTCACAGGTCTATAGCACAAACAAAACTAATGCCAATGAAACCAAATTTGACAGATGAAAAGAGCGGACTGTCACCTTTCCAAAACATATTTGGATTGCCCGATTAGGCAACCAGAACCGGAGATATTCGGAAAAAATTTGCACTACTAACAAAAAGCGAACGAATATATGGATCCACCCAATATATTATATATAATATGTATGTTATGTATGTACAGTATGTACGTTTGTACGTATGTATGTACATATGTATGTATGTGTGTAATGTGTATAATGCGTTAATCGCCAAAATTGCCGCTTTTGGGGTACGGAGAACCCACATGTGATTGTCGAAAAACAAATGCATCCACAACGTGTCACTGTTTGGTCTGGATTTTGGGCTGGAGGCATCATTGGACCATACTTTTTTGAAAATGAGGCTGGTCAAGCAGTGACTGTTACTGGTGCTCGATATCGCTACATGATAACATAGTTCTTTCTGCCGAAATTGGATGATATTGATGTGGCCAATATGTGGTTTCAACAAGACGGTGCCACATGCCATACAGCTCGTGAAACAATTCAGTTACTGCATGAGACGTTTCCAGGTCGTGTACTCTCTCGTTTAGGTGATCAGAATTGGCCCCCTAGATCGTGTGATTTAACACCATTAGATTTCTTTTTATGGGGTTATTTGAAATCACAGGTCTATGTCAACAAGCCCACAACCACCCGTGCATTAAAGGAGGAGATTCAACGCTGCATCAACGAAATTCAGCCACATTTATGCAAAATGGTCATGGAAAATTTCGACAAACGAGTGCGTATGTGCATGCAAAGCCGTGGAGGCCATTTGCCCGATGTGTTATTCCACAAATAACCCTATCCTATGTACTTTATGATTCAGTAAAAAAATAACAATCAAAAGACTAAAAACTGTGTTTTCTATTTAATTCAAATCTTGCGTTAATTTTGGGACACCCTTTATAATGCGTTTATATTTAATATATATTTACATAGGGAAAAAAATAATTATACAATTTGTAATAAATTTTATTTTTATAACACACTATCTCTGTGTATTCAAAAGTTGCGCGAATTATCAAATTCTAGCCATTTCATTTGTTTTTTACCGCGGTCATGTATGATGAGACAATAGACTGTAGTATTCGCGGGTACATTCTCCTTGAATTCAAATTCTAATCGCACATCCACCGCTCTTAATGAATTCGTTTTGTCGCAAGCAGTCAATGATAACGTGAGTATAACTGCGAAGAAAGTTTTTCATGTTCAATAATGTTTCACGATTTTCTCGGGGAATTTGATAATAAGACGTACGGAAACGTATATACATATCATAGGAGACAGCGGTTTTGTATTTGTCAAAATCAAGATTCAGATCATCGTACGGATAAAATTCAGAGTTTAGATAAAGTTTCACGTTGGTTAATTTATAATGATCGAAGTTATAAGTTTTGCTTTCATGATGTTTTTTTTAGCAGCTTGCAGAGCAAAGAGAACATATCTAGGTTTGTGCAGCTGAGACGCAGTCTTGATAGCCCACGAATGCTTTGTCATATTTTGCAATAAGGGATACTTATACAAAAATCGCACGAATAGAATCTCATACTTACAATTAGATATGTTGAATAATTCAAATGTCGGTTCAGTTGCTGGATCTCCTACAATGCAATTGTTGGAGTTGCGCACTCGTATCAAAATTAATTCGTGATGAGTGTTAATTACTACATGTTTGTAATTCTTGCAAAAGCCCAACATGCTGAGCGGCACGCAAAAGTTAAAATATCCGTCAGGTGTTATTAAACTTTTCGCATTATACTCAGACGGAATAAGTCCAGCATTATGCATAATCATTGTATTATGGATGGGTGGGTGGGTGGGTGTGTGTGTGTGTGAGGGAGTCAAGGAGGGGAAAGTGCCTCACAGACGTTGGGAAGGGGGTCATCAGGATCCATGGTAGAGGGGGAAGAGTTTGTTCTTTGTCTCTCTCTCCCACCCGTTGCGTTCTCTCTTTAACCTATTGTCCTCTCTCTCCTACCCATTGTAGGATGCAGTTCTCTTTCTTTCAACGTTGCAATCCTATATTTATTATTTGCGCTCTCTCTTTTTGCCGTTGCGCACTCTCCCACGTTGTCTTTTCTTCTTGCACGCGATTTAATTAAATGATATAAATATTTTGTGAATTTTTAATAATATGACTTAGTAACTAATTATGATAATATTTTTATAAATTTTTATAATATAACTTAGTAACACTAATTATGATAATATTTTTTTAGTAATGTAGCACAAAAATGATCAAGTGCAATTTCTTATTGACTAATTCAATACTACGAAGATATGAAAAAGAAGAAGAAGTGGCGAAGATACTAGGAATAAAATAATTTTAGAAGAAAAGAATATATTTTTTAACATACATTTATTTATCATATAATGTAGTATGTATAATATAATCTAAACTATAGATTATTAGTTTACATTCTATTGTATAATAGAATTTTTATCATAAATTTTGTACAAAGTGTTTGCAGCATTGTTTTTTTTATTATTGGGAGTATAAATAAGTTTCCGTCGTTTGACAAACAATGGCGTTACCAGTATGTTATAGTTATTAAAATTGTCAGCTGTAAAACGTCATATCGTAAGGTTGGACATCTGACAAGAACATAACCTTGAAATATTAGCGATTTTGCATCAGCATCTTATATCTTTTTTCGTGCGAAAATGTCGAGTTTTGAGCCGAATAAACATCATTTGCGGGAGCTTTTGATTTACTTCTTTAATTTGAAGAAATCTGTAGCTGAGACGTATCGATTGCTTGTAGAAGCATATGGTGAGGCTGCCTTAAGTGAGAGAAGTTGCCGTGAGTGGTTTCAAAAGTTTAAGAACGGTGAATTTGACGTCGAAGACAAAGAACGTAGCGGAAGGCCGAAAGTGTACGAAGACGCGGAATTGGAAGCATTATTGGATGAAGATTCGTGCCAAACGCAAGAAGCACTTGCACTTACATTAGGAGTGACTCAACCAGCAATTTCACATCGCTTAAAATCGTTGGGAATGATTCAAAAGCAAGGAAATTGGGTTCCATATGAACTGAAGCCGAGAAACGTTGAACGCCGATTTTTCACATGTGAAATGCTGCTTGCCAGGCATAAACGAAAGGGTTTTTTGCACCGTGTAGTCACTGGTGATGAAAAATGGATCCACTACGATAACCCAAAGAAGAAGAAATCATGGGGACCACCTGGCCATGCTTCAACATCGACAGCCAAGCCGAACATTCATTGGGAAAAAGCTCATGTTGTGTATTTGGTGGGATCAGCTAGGTGTCGTTTATTATGAGTTGCTCAAACCGAATGAAACCATTACTGGGGCTCTCTACCGAACACAATTGATGAGATTGAGCCGAGCACTCAAGGAAAAACGCGCCCACTACTACTCCAGACACGACAAAGTTATTCTTCTGCATGATAATGCTCGTCCACATGTTGCGGCGCCGATCAAAACCTACTTGGAAACACTCAATTGGGAAGTTTTACCCCACCCGCCGTATTCACCAGACATTGCTCCTTCTGATTACTACCTATTTCGATTGATGACGCATGGCCTGAGCAACACTTCACATCATATGAAAATACCAAAAATTGGGTCGATTTGTGGATAGCTTCAAAAGATGAAGCGTTTTTCCGACGCGGTATCCGTATGCTGCCAGAAAGATGGGAAAAAGTAGTGGCTAGCGATGGACAATACTTCGAATAAAACATTAGGTACTGTTCTTTCACAATAAATGCCCAATTTTTGATAAAAAATGGCGGAAACTTATTTATACTCCTAATAGTAATACAATTTTGTTTTAAAAATGACACAAAAATTTCTTATTAACATCGTGCGTATATTGACTCAGTTTATAGAATACATGCTCAACACATTGCTCAAGTTCAAGAAAAGCACAGTTGTTGGTTTCATGTACAAATATGTGCCATTTAATATTAACTTTACGTTATTCGTATCATATAATGAGAAATTACACACTAACTCAAAAATAATAAGTTTTTTATAGACTTCTTTAATTGAACAATTTAGAAATATGATAAAATAAATGGCTTTAAAATGTTTTTTCGTACATCGCTTCGCGACCATTCATCGCGGAGATATGTGAAATTTGAATTTGATTTTTTTTAACGTTGATTTTAAGTGACTTTAATTTTGTTCAATAGCTGCATGCAAATTTCAAGATACAATAATTTCATTAAAAATTGTATCGGGATGTTTAAAAAAGCATTTTACAGGTTGAAACGTCTACTTTTCAGATCGCTACTTAAAAAAACGATCTCATGGAAATTTCATGAAGTTACACAAACATAAATGAAGATATATCAGACCTCAAAATTTTTTATGAAATTTGCGAAGCTCCACGGAGTGGACTAAAAATTGTATACAAATGCGATTTACATCATTAAACAAAAAAATGAATCTTTACCTTTAATTTGCTTTTTTACAAAGCTCCGTACGATTTTTTTTCATTGAGTTATTCAATGTTGAAGCAAAAATGGTCCTCCATATTTTTTTAAGTAGTGATCCGAAAAGTAGAGGTTTCTACTTGTAAAATGCTTTTTTAAACATCCCGATACGACAATTTTTGACGAAGTTATTGTATTTTGAAATTTGCCTATTTTTGCAGAGTGAACAAGTGTTGCGTTAATTTTGTTGCCCAGTGTATTTGCTTTCAGATTAAACAAAAAGTGTGAGATATTTTTACTCCAGGTTTTCGGATCGAAAGATCTCATTAGTACCATGGTAGATGCTTTTATAGTTTCTTGGAAAAACATAAATTCTTATGCCTTTCCTTCTTTTTATGTACTTATTTTGCGCATTAAAAAAAAAATTGTTCTCGATCAAGCAGAAGGTGATGTGGTTGTGCTCTACTGGTACAATCTTGGTTTTTATTGTTCAATTCCTTATGCATTTTGAAATTAATAATTTTCAAACCGAGTAAACATCTTTGCTATCTCTTTTAGAGACAAGATTTATCGATGGCTTTCCACTTTTCCCTGATGGCAGAGAAATTATCATATCAGCTATATTAAGAAAAGGCGTAAAAAGAAGTTCATAAATATGATGGTAGATTTAATTACGGAATCAATCCTAAAACAATATGGAAGTACATTAAAAAAATGGTGGGTGTTTGTTCACGAGACAAAAGATGGGACGTGTTCAATACCCATACTATAGATATATTAAGTTTTCAGTTGAAAAGATTCAACGAGTAAGTTACGGCGTTTTAAATACAAGCAGATCAGCGATTGCGCTTATCTCGTTAACAGATATCTCTCAAGATGGTCTTATAAATAGGTTTTTGAAAGATATATTTAAACAAAGACCGATGAAACCAAAATATTCCTTGGGACGTAGCACTAGTTTTAATCTACATGAGAATCTTCTTCTTACGAAAAAAATACCTAAAAATTCGGTGTTTACACCTAACTTTGTTGTTGTTTACACTCAATTTTCGATGTTAACACTCAAATTTTCAGTGTCAACACT